GTGTGTGTGTGTGTGTGTGTGTGTGTGTGTGTGTGTGTGTGTGTGTGTGTGTGTGTGTGTGTTGCAGAGTTGGTCTCTCCATACCTGCATGCTGAGAACATTCATATACGTTCACTGATAAGACATGCAAATCAATCCCTATTAGCTGTGGTGGTAACATGTGCCAAAAATAAAGTGCCCTGTATGTGATTATTTTAAAATACAAAATGAGGAGGACGTTGGTGGTGAGGAAGAGCCAAAGGTGAGACCCTGAGATGGGTACAAGTGGTGAGAGTTAAATTTTTAAAGTAAAGGTTCAGATTAAAATATTTCGCAGATACGGTACTGTATCTTGTGTCTCTGTCAGCGTTTCATCAATACATAAACTAGGGTATGCAAATTACTGTACATCAGCATGCAAGGGCATGGATTAATACCATGTTGCACCAAAAAAGGGTGCAACCAAATCATGTGCTGGTGTGACTAACTGAGAAAGTTAGTATCACCAGTGCGACCACTGGAAAGGTCTGGAGCCCTGTAAAATGTGTGTTGTTAAATACAAAAACATTCTTATTTATTTGACAATTAAAGGAATAACTTAATTTAAACCAATGTATTTATTTTGTAGAATTTAATTTACAAGTTATGTACAGTAAGGCAAGGTAAGCTGTAATGTTTATATTTTGGTAATATCCTAATTTTTCCAGTTCAGATTTTGCTTGCCGCTAAATCTGATCGTTGTTAGATATTTGACTGTGCTGTAAAAAAGGAATGTTTAACTTTGACAGCCCTAATTAACATTAATGTGACAGCGCGTCAATGGGAATTCATTATAACGTGACTGTTTTTTTTGATGTCATTAACACGTGTTGAGTCGGATGGCAGCTCGGGAAAAATAATTAACAAAGAAAGTATTTTGAATGGCAGGTTCAGCTTCAAAACTCTGTCAGATGGGTCCATTGACAAGACCAAGACAACTGCAGAGCCAAACAAACTTGGGTGAGGGTGAAGACTGTCGCTACAGAACTGAACAATATTGTGATATTAGTCACCTTTGTGCTGTTGCACATCCGAGTGATGTAAAACTGAGAACCCCCCTCCCCAAATTGTATTTCTTTTTTTTGTACAGTAAGTACTTGGTGTTTTGGTTTTGTGTTAAATGCATATATATCGATATTGCATTAAAAATCATATCTCAAGACTCAAACCCTCTTCTCTATCCATTGCGCCTCTGTAAATCTTGGATCAGACATTTAGGATAAAATAGCTTTAAAAAGGTTGCTGACCTCTGATCTACACTTAGTTATATGAGTAAGTAAAATGTAATATTTAGCAGAGTAACGTAACAGGTGCTGATTACAGTGAATGGTATTTTAGGAAATGGTTCACTTGAAGGTAGGTTTTAATTGGCCTGAATCACTTTTTTTGCTTTTTTGTTTTAAGATTCCAAACCATTTCCTGCCATGCTTTCCAATGAAAGGCAAGCCCATTTGCCATGCCTGACCTTTCCTAAAAGTCATAATGCGTCTCGTCTCTAATACGCATTTGGTGAGGATCAGAATGCTGCTTAAATGTCAGGAATGTGGCAGCACACACATGCACACATTAGTCATGCAAAATGAGTGCATGATATGAGGTAAAACTTGTTTAGCAAATGCAACATTTACTATTCATGAAGCTGTTATTGGTCTCTGCTGTTTCTGTTGTCATTCATTCTTCATTATTGCAGTGTAATTCTGCTAAGTACTCTGAGTTGGCATCGCAGCCTGTCCTGTTGGTTTCCCCCCCCCCCTCATTTTGTGGGAACAGCCTTGTTTTGTCTTCTGGAGTGCACCTGCCTGTGCCCACACACTGTCCTGAAAGACCCCAGGGTCACTGTGACAAGCTTATTGAGGACTGGTGGAAAGAATGATTTCCTTCATCTCCCAGCACGTCTCCTGCGAAGGTGTTATTTAGGGCTGGGCGACATCATATCGATATTATATCGCGCATGCGCAATAATCACCAGGGCTTCAGATGACAGACGAAGCATTTGGCCGGACGGCAGCTTTTCGGTGAAATACGGACATTAATTTACACCCATAATTTGGTAAGAGGATTAGTAGTATGGCTAAAATATTAATGAAGTGTTTTGTGATACCCAAAAGTTAGTAATCTGTATGAACTTTTTCTTAAATTCGATTAGCGGAGCACCCCAAATAATACTGTTTTGATATACTACGGTTTGTATACCTCAGTGCAATATGCACTGAAGTCGCAGTGAAGAAGAGCAGCCATGATATCTTTTAAAAGAGGAGATCTTGTGGATAAACAACAAAAAAAGACGTCGACAGTGTGGTGGAACTTTTTGCAGTTCAAAGTCTGACACATTTATGAAACGAGGATATGCGTATTTATACTAATAATGACTATTGGACTTCATACAAAGCCTCATTAATATTTTAGCCATAGTACTAAACTGCTTAAATTGTGGGTGTAAATAAATGTCCGTATTTCACCGAAAAGCTGGCGCATGACCAAATGCTTCGTCTGTCATCTGAAGCCCTGGTGATTATTGCGCATGCGCGATATAATATCGATATATCGCCAAGCCCTAGTGTTATAGACAATAAGACAGATTTAGCTGCTGTCTTCAGCCGGCCCGGGCTCTGAGTCTGTAGAAATTGGCTTCCACACCCGATGTGACGTCTGTCTCTCCTCTTAGATCCACCATGTCTGCCAAAGCCATCTCGGAGCATACGGGGAAGGAGTTCCTCTACAAGTACATCTGTACCTCAGCCGCTGTGCAGAACCGCTTCAGATACGCCAGTGTGACATGTGACACTGACTGGGACCGGCTGACGCAGGAGCACCCCTGGCTTCTCACAGAGGTAGGAGACCAGCTCCACGCAGCATCTCTGGTGCCTGTAAACGGTGCTTCATTTATATTGACTCTGCTGTTATTGCTGACACTGTGTTGCTGATCTTTTGGAGCAGATGACCCCCCCCCCCCTTCCCTGATTGGTTATTAACTCTGCACATGACATGCCTATCCTCTAGTTCTAATGTCATGTCATTTTCTGCAATTACCTGAACAGATGCATTTTTGTACCATGCCAGCACAATAATTCTGTTCACTCATAAGGGGTCTGAATGCCTCCTTAGATCAACCAACAAAGCTGTTCTTTGGGACCCCATGTGTTAAATTCTGTAAAGCAGTGGGACATACTTTGGACCAGTCAGTAAAGTCAGTCTTTTTTTGTGGGGGTTATTTTTCCCTAGGATAGCACCTCAGGGTTAGGGGGGGGTGGGTTGAATCCCCCCTCTGCACTGTGTGGAGTACACAAGTTCTCATGTAGTGTGGGTTTCTGTTGGCCAATCTGGCATCTTCCCACCAATCGGAGAGATGCAGATGAGCGAGATCATATGCCTGACTATGCTTCTGCCATCACACAGCCACTGGTGGTGAAGCCAGACCAGCTGATCAAGAGGCGAGGGAAGCTGGGCTTGGTGGGAGTCGACCTGGACTTGAAGGGCGTACAGGAGTGGCTTCAGCTTCGCTTCATGAAAGAAACTACAGTGAGTCATGAGGAAAATAATTCAGTGTCAGTTGCATTGGTACCACAACGAGAGAAAAGCATTTGAACCTCCTGTGGAAATGCTGATGAGTATCACGACCTATCTGAAGGGAGCCTGATTAGCACTGACTTAGACAATAAATGTACTTAATGTTTCATCATTTTCCCCCAGTTGTCAGTTTCCCTGAGAGACACATGCATCATTTCTCTGAGAAACACACTTTCAGGGAAGTGCACTGACAAATGCGAACATGATTTTTTTGATTGTAGGTTTATTTGTAATGTAAAGAAGTCATTTACTGATGAGTAAGAGTTTCATAGCATATCTCTAATTTTTATTATTTTAGCTGAATAATAATGTGGTTTATGCTAGTATTATTCATAATGTGACTTTGATATCAGTGTTTATCTATAGTAATGAAATACAGTTTGGTTCCAAAGCAGTGTGCAGTTTGGGCCCCGGGGCCCTACTGAGCAGGCAGTGCTAGGCATGTGAATAGACAGCTTTGGGGGGCCCTTGGGCCGGGCTGCAAGGACCCATCCTCGGATCTGATTTTCGATTTGTCACTCGGATAAGTCAAATAAGCTGATTTACTTCCTGTAATCCCCTTTATCATCCTGTGAGCCAAAAACCATTCATTCAACAAAATTCAATATTTTTCATGAGGTTTGCTGGAAATTACCGCAATTTGGCTGCGACTGTTTAGTCTGTCTACTTCTAACATTGCCTCATTTGCCTCACTGCGTAATAAGTCTCACTTTATTATTTACATCTAATTGTGACAGACAATTATTTGGGGAAACAAAGCTATTGTGAGCTAGAATAGCAAATATTTTAGTCCTGGCAGATAGTATATGAATAGCATGGGACGTGATTCGTGTCTTGGCTAGTGATTTTGACTCTCCCTTGCCGGCCCCTGGAGGATGGGCTCCCCCTTTGAGTCTGGTCCCTCCCAAGGTTTCTTCCTTCTGGGGAGTTTTTCCTTGCCACTGTCGCCTATGGCTTACTCACTGGGGGCTTTGGGTGGGGATGCTGTAAAGCGCTTTGAGACGATGTAATGTGATAATGCGCTATACAAAAATAAATTTGGTTGTTGTTGTTGTGATGGTGTTGCTATTTGCTTTGAGGGTTTCTCCAGTGATCCCTTTGTGGGAATCTCTATTAGTGTTTAGATTCCTAGCTGCAGCTCTGGGTTCTTTGCCTCGATCAGCCTCCTCCTTTCATTTCCATGTTCTTAGTTTGATCTGCCACGGCTGTTGGTGTCAGTGAGGAAGGCCTTTCGTAATACTCCGGTAAACCCCAGACCATGTTGGATCCCAGGCAGGACTTAAATTGGTTCTCTAATGGTCCTGCTTTATGTTTTCTCATGACAAATTCATGTTTTTCTGAGTTGCTGTGCCTTTTTTCCAGTAATTTATGGAAGAATCTCCTTGCTCTTAAGAGATGTTTTACTGAGGGGAAACAAGTAAAACAAACAGTAGCTGCACAAGAATGAAGTCCCCATGCCAATGACGGTTTTCAACTGCCACCGAGAACCGAGCCGTATCGCAAACTGGCAGTTTTCCATTGTCAGGCATGCTAGCCGTACCCGAGCCGTACCCGAGCCGTACCCGAGCCGTACCCGAGCCGTACCCGAGCCGTACCCGAGCCGTAAGCACACTGGCATGGTTTTGCTTACTAGCAGGACTGTAAGCGTGATTAAACTGAGCTGGTTGCATCACCGCCATCTGATTGGTTGAAATGCACAATGATCCCAGTGTTCTGTGCATGGATTATCTGAGGGGGTGCGGAAAAAATGGTATATGCTATGTATTATTATTTGTAGTATTGCACATTGCGATGTACCACTGCATTCCAGATAAATCTGAACTTGAAATTTTCCAACGAACTACTTAAAGTACTTTGGGGTTGAAGGGAATGGATTTGTAATGCAAGTTCCGCAACATTATGCTAATTCCGCTACTGTTCAATGCTAACATGACACGGCGATTCCCACAGCCGTGCTAGCGGAAATTAGCACATAATACATCATGATATGGACATGGCTTGTGAACAATACACAAGCATCTCTTCAGTTGTAAGTCACTGTCGCTCTCCAACCCAGCCACACCTATACCAAGCCAATCCTTCTACAGTGGAAAACCAAGGCAAGCTGAAACCGCGCTGTAACTAGTCTCTCTTCGCAATACAGCTCAGGTACGGGTCAGTTCCTGTATGCTTGTATTTGGCCCTATAGATTCCCCACACTGTATGTCTTTGATACCTTATGTCCACCGTCTGATGTTATACTTTCAGCCAGTCATATTGACAGGTATGGTGGTGTAAACGCTCAAATAATCACCAGGTGTCCACTGCACCTATGAGATCTTTACCGACACAAGTGACCTTGTAAAGCGAGGGTCTCTGATCTTTCTCTTACTGAATTAGATCCCCCACCCCAAGAGGTGGAAAGTTCAGGTTCAAAATGTACTGATCTAGAATAAGATTTTGTTTCAACCAACCATTTGAGTACTCTGTGAATGTGACTCTTTTTATACTCAACTGGTTAGTGGAAATAAAATCTTGTTCTGGATTTGTACTTTCTGAACCTGAACTTTCCTTTTACCTATGTCTGGCCAATTTTCTCTTTCTTCCCACTTTATGGGTGGGCCTGCCCCATAGTAATTCATATCCTGCTCCATGTTCTGCTTTATAATTACATAAACATTTAAAATACAAGGTTACAAAACATATTTTAACAATGAGAATGAGTTAATTCTCAAAATGAAATCCCGAGGCGTTCCCAGGCCAGCCAAGAGACATAGTCCCTCCAGCGTGTCCTGGGTCTTCCCCGGGGCCTCCTCCCAGTGGGACATGCCCGGAACACCTCACCAGGGAGGCGTACAGGAGGCATCCTAAGCAGATGCCTGAGCCACCTCATCTGGCTCCTCTGAATGCGGAGGAGCAGCGGCTCTACTCTGAGTCTCTCCCGAATGACCGAGCTCCTCACCCTATCTCTAAGGGAGAGCCCAGCCACCCTGCGGAGGAAACTCATTTCAGCCGGTTGTACTCGCGATCTCGTTCTTTCAGTCATTCATGACCATGAATGAATGAAAACATTCATATCAAAAGAACTGATGCTGGAATCAATCCACACATCCCTACGAGGCTGTATAATTATGACAAAGGGCTTGTTAAGCTGTTTGCTGCTGTTCTGGTGCTTTATGTTGGGTTTTTTTGGCTCTTGGGTTATATTAATCTCTGGCTGTATTTAATAAAATTTTCAGTTAAACAATAAGCTCTGTTGTCTCTACTCTGGTTACCTGATAATGTTCCTGACGTGTTTTCAGTATTAATTCTGTCTGTCCTGAAGTACCGCCTGAAATGGTTGTCTGCTTTTTTAGAATTGGACATATCGAGTATATTTGCCTTTTTTCTTTCACTCGTTTACTCAAAAGAAAAACAAGAAAAGCTTGTCGCAAGTTTGACAGTTTCTTTCATTATGCAGACTTCTCAAACTATTGTGAAAAATTTTGTTCATGTTTTCTGTGAAAGCTTTTTATCCGTTTTGTGCATCCGAGTTGCACAAAATTTGTTTTTTCGTGTCACGTTCATTGTGAAACTGCCTCTAGGCCCCGTTCAGTTCATATGTTATTCAGCCTCAAGGCTGAGGAACCATGCTCTAGGGCCCTATTATTCAAATCACATCCTCGAGGTCTGAGCAGTGCTGGTTTTCCAGCCTTCCTCTACCTGTGAGCCAGGTGTGAAGCCTCTGACCAATCAGAGTCAGTAATTATTAAACTAACTATCTGGGAGAACTGAAAACAAGGCCTGGATTTGGAATCGAGGTCCAGATTTGAAGAACCCTGCTCTAGGGTAACTTATCTCTCATAGGATTGCAATGTCCCTTCCCATAGACTGTTAATAATTAATAGTCTATGGGAGGATATAATTAATGATTAACAGCAAAGTAAACTTCAGAATATTATGAATAATAGTAAATCACTGTTAATTGCAGTGTAAATCTGATCAATATAAATCCCCAAATGGTACCTGACTAGTCTGAGATCATTGGTGCAGACATTCACCAATAAATCACTGATGCTCCCTCAGGGGTACCAAAGCTGAGACGGCCTTGCTCTCTGCTCCAGGATCATCTGGTTTTCGGCCCCTTGCTGTTTTCCCATTATCATTATTGCTTCCTATTTAAATGTCATCTGTCACTATCAAATCACTTCCGCCCTGATTATGTCCTTGTTGTTCTGGCTCTGTGGCTTTGGACAAAATTAGAACCTTGTATTCTTCTACTTTTGTATTTGCCTGATTTTATTAAACTACTGATCGTATGAAGTCTTGAGGTTTATTATTATTATTATTATTATTATTATTATTATTATTATTATTGTATTATGTTATTGTTGGATATTTTTTTAAATGTCAAAGAGGAGGAATGAAAATATGGACATTTTCTGGGTGTTAAAATGACAGGTGAAACTACTGCTGCTAGGGATGAAACTGTTTATCAGTTTCACGGTAAACCACAATAAAATCCCAGACAGTATTGCCGTTTCAAATTTTAATTATCATTAAAACCATATCTGATTACCACGCTTTGAAAAAGTCACATAAATACTCTCCAGCACCAACCAAAGTTAGCAACAGTCTCCCAGATGTGGGTGTACAGGCGCAGCATGCAGAGTGAGTTTAATCTTTGTCCATAAAAACACTGCACTCCAGTGACTGCACTCCAGAAGGAAGTGACTGCACTCCAGAGACTTTTAATGTTAATGCGCATTTCATATGGAGTTTGTGTTTACATAAGTTATTGGCTATATTATTATTTTAATGTTCATGCAAACACGTTGGCAACACTGTGCTTTTTAATTTACGTTTTTCAACATATAACTTACACAATTTCACTATCGGTACTTTTTTGAACAAGCAAATTTTAACAATACTGCAATAATAGTGATAACCGTAATATAATTTTTTTTCATGCCGTTTTCATCTCTAATTGCTGCTAACACACAAATCTGGACATTTCTGGGTGTTAATATGAGAAGTGGAACTATTGCTGATAATGCAGATTCCTTTTGTGTACCGTAGGTGGGAAAGGCCAAGGGCATTCTGAAGAACTTCCTTATCGAACCCTTCGTAGCTCACACACAGGTAAGCTCTCTCATAGGCCACCATTCAGTACTGTCCTAGTATATAGAAATCACTGAGTGACGTCTGGGTGCCCTGTATTCTTTAAGCTTAAACGCGTTTCCTAGTGGCCTTTAAAGTCATGAGTTAATCATCTGAGACCTTTGGTGTGTTTTGTTTCTAAGGAAAAGCTCCTGCTGTTTTTTGTTTTCAATCCTGCACTTTTTGTCCCCCACCCTGGCCTCAGGAGGAAGAGTACTACATATGCATATACGCCACTCGAGAGGGCGACCACGTGCTCTTTCACCACGAGGGTGGCGTGGACGTTGGAGATGTGGACTCCAAGGCTCAGAGGCTTCTGGTGCGCGTGGATGAGAAGCTGGATCCAGAGCTTGTAAAGAACCACCTCTTGTCGAACGTGGCGGATGATAGGAAGGAGTGAGTCACACCAGCTGAAGTGCAGCTCGCTTGTGGTGGCCTGGAGGTGGCCTGCGAATGACGTCATCCTCCTAACCCAGCATCTGGGCTGATTGCATGTCTGTTGTGTTTGAATAGGTGTTTATATTTACATCATGGATGTTGTAACAGGAGCAAAAGGTAGATTAAGAAATTCCAGAAAATCAAGTTTCCACTTATGCGGAGTAAGAAATGGATGTGTCAATTTCAGTGTCAGCATCAGTGGAAATGAGATGCTTAAGAATACCGTTCACATCTTCTGTAAAAGAATATAGAAGTAAACTGTATTGACTCACCCGGTATTGTGTTTGAAAAAATTTCAATATACTGTAAAAAGTCGATATACCACCTGACCACCTTTGGCTCCCACTGTGTAGGCAGTCACTGACACGCAGGAGTGAACAAGAGAAGGAAATTGAGAACAGGGGGGGGAAAACGTACCTGTTTTGTAATTTATTTACTGCATATGATGGAGGTAAAGGCTGGGAGGGGAAGACACTGTTTTGATGAAACTTCCCATGGGAGTTACGGGCTGTTTTGACCCCAGTGAATAATTTTGTTGTAACGGGAGACTGAGGGATGTTTTGCAGTAGCCCTGAAGTGAGCTCCAGCAGTAAAGTGTGCCCACATCGTGTCTAATACCTGTAGCTATCGAATTACCTGATTGTGGCGCGCAAAAGGTAACATACTTGTGCTGCTGTCCTTCAGGGTCCTGGCCAGCTTCCTCTTAGGCCTCTTCAACCTGTATGAAGACCTGTATTTCACCTACCTGGAGATTAACCCTTTGGGTAAGTCCACCACCT